AAAGGAAAGAAATGACCCTGCATAGAGTTTAAATTATTGATTAGCTATTGCTTGGCAAACTGTTCCAACAATAATCCAGCATTGAAATTGAGGTGTTTACATGCATTTACATTCAGCACATAAACAGGCAGGCTTGCAAAATCAGCTGCCTGTTTGCACGACCCTGTCTGCACACAGCAGAATCTCTCACCATTGCTGGTTAGGCCTTTCGGTAAATCATCCTCTTCTGTGCAATAATTGCTATGAGATGATGATCAGAATTTTATTTAAATCCAGGGGAAGCTATTCTATGCTAGCCATTACTTGAAATGCTCCTAAGCAAATAAACTTTGATTGGAAATGCTGCAAGTCTTTGGGGCTTGACTAATGTAATTTTTGTCTCCCCCTAAATATGCAGATAATCAGCTTAAATGTTGCCAATGCCCAACTAAAGATCTCAGGGCACTTTAAAATCATCATGAAACCATTTTTATTAAACCATAAAACTTAATAAATACATTTTATTTCTTCGGAAGTTAGCGTCTTTCTATGGATACATAGTCCTTCATCTTAGCTTCACGTAGCCACAACGTCTTTGCTTGGAATGAAGCAGGCAGGTCTCCCCTTAACTGTTTTAGTTATTAGCATGGCACCTGGGGTGTTTGGTTGCTCTGCAGTCTTGGTCTCCAATCCAGAGAGACTCCACAGCTAACAGAAAGAAATTCTGCCTGGTCCTGTGAGGGCTTCACGGCGATGGCTGTGTTTGTGCCCAATGTTCAGACTTCTGTGTCCATCCACAGGGCAGGGTGATGCTGTATCAGTTCACTCCACGGCGGGTGTGATCTGCGTGATTCAGCTTGGCTGGGTCAGGATTCTCCCATGGTATAAGTTAAGGTAGTGTGGTCAACTCCATGATGGGGTCTTCTGTGAATCAGCCAAGCGGTTGGGGGGAGGATCTTATGTATGTACTTGTTTATTTATTTATTTTTAGATGGTACCAAGTTATTTCCGCCGCACGGTGACCATGTACAGTAGAGTGAAACACAGCCCCACCCTCACGATTGTTCGTATGTGTGAGCCCATCAATGCAGCCACTGTGTCCGTCCATCTTGTCGAAGGCCTCTCTTTTCCACGTCCTGCTGCATTAGCAAGCAAGAGGATCTTCTCCAGGGACGGGTCTCTCTTGACGACATGTTCAAAATACGCCAGAAGAAGTCTCCCCACCCTGAAGAGCATTCCGGCTCTTCTTCTTCCAGACAGATCTGTTTGAACATGTGTCAGTCCCTGGTACTTTCTGTCTTCTTCACCAGCGCCCTCACTCAAATGCATAATTTAAATGTGGCGAAGGTAGTCCTCCTTAATCTGCTCCCAGCCTTGATGCAGTTGAGGGAACTTTAATGAAGAGTGTGGCCTCCCCTTAGCAGAAGTTGACAGTGTGTGGAAGCTAGTTCACTTCCTCTGCTTGATTTGGATTCTGCTTCTAGTTTATCAACTCACTGTTAGAGCA